TCTTTGTTATGTATGGATCACCTGGGTTGTTACCGACATCTGGTGAAAATTTCATGTCATTAGCATCTCTAGCAATATATACTGAGAAAAATGTTGATGTGTTCAATACTTTTTTCCCCTGTGCCATTCCACATTATTACAAATAACTTCAATTCTGGACATTTATGGTTTCTTTATGTATGGATCACCTGGGTTGTTACCGACATCTGGTGAAAATTTCATGTCATTAGCACCTCTAGTAATATATTTACTGAGAAAATTCTTCATGTGTTCAATACTTTTTTCCCCTGTGCCATTCCACATTATTACAAATAACTTCAATTCTGGACATTTATGGTTTCTTTATGTATGGATCACTTGGGTTGTTACCGACATCTGGTGAAAATTTCATGTCATTAGCACCTCTAGTAATATATTTACTGAGAAAAATGTTGATGTGTTCAATACTTTTTCCCTGTGCCATTCCACATTATTACAAATAACTTCATTTCTGGACATTTATGGTTTGATTTCTTTGTATATATGGATCACTTGGGTTGTTACTGACATCTGGTGAAAATTTCATGTCATTAGCACCTCTAGTAATATGTTTACTTTGAAAAATGGTGACGTGTTCAATACTTATTTTACCTTCTGTATAGCACTAGACCTGTCCTATAACACTACACTTCAGTGCAAGAAACTGAGGTTCTGTGAGAGGGATGATAATGATTTATCCACCACGACGTGTCTTCTGCACATGTTCAAACTCTCAGTAAGAAAAATATGTGATTACTGATCCGCTGTTTCACATGTGGAAGTATAAATCAGCCTTTACTGTAAGAAGTTATAACCATATTTCATTTTTATTTTTCCCAGCTTAAATATTAAAAAATGTGTGAAGACAAAAATCTGATAATTCAGTTCAGCTTGAATTTATTAATCGTGTCACTTTAAGCACCCAGACAATAACAAAAATACTAAAATTGAGCTCAGATTAACGTTTGTGATCATAATGGTAATAACATTAGAAATACAATAAAATGCATTTTAAAATTTTCCAACATAGCTCCACATTACTCAAACCACTTTTTGCACAAAATGAACATAGAATTGAATTAAAATACAGTTTATGACACAATAATAATAAACATAATAAAACTTGTTACATTCAGAACATTATTTGTCTTGAAGTTTGAAAAGACAAACGGTGTCATACTGAAGGCACATTAAGGCACATTTATATAATCATTGAGTCTGTTTCTATGACAGACTGGATGTGCTTTAATACATTATGAGTATGAAAATAAAAATAAACTACTTTTTTACATAAATGAAAGAGGAACATGTAATGACAAAACCATTATTGTTTAAATAAAATCTCAGTGCAGAACAAGTAGTTGTAGTGACAAAAGGAATAAATTCATACAAATAAAAATCATACAAAATATGATCAGCATGACTAAAGCTGAAACCTGTGTAAACATCAGTGTTAGCAGCAGCTTCAATTAGGAAGAATATTAATAAATCAAATAAAAATAATGAGCTGCAGGTGTGCTTAAAATGATTAATATAATTATGGATGGTAACGAGAGTAAAGATGTAAAAACAGGCAAACGTAAAAATTGATCCCTTATTTGTTCATTTCTACTAACTTTCCTTCAGCGAAACATCCTATTTGTTAAATGTTCAGCAGATGTATGGTTTTGATTTAAAAAAGCTAAAGAAATAGTATGCCAGGGAATTAAAAGTCCTGATGTTTTTCTCATATTTTTGTGATAAATTTAAGTAATGATTTTTTCTGTAACATCTGGAATGTTAAATTGTCAAATGATTTTGTTCCAGTAGTTTAAAGTCTCAAATAAAGATAGTAGTAGATAGTTTAATTTTAGACTAATAATAGTATCTCAGGGCTGAGACTATGGAACACACATTTCCAAAAACCATTTATTCTTGGAATCACTCTTTGAATGTATTCCTGGGAAAATCTGACTGAAATTTTGATGGCAGTTTGCATAAATACTGCTGAAATATATATATA